TATATATATATATATATATTTAAAAAAAAAAAAAAAAAACGGCTACATTATAAAGTGATGTAAAATACTAAAAACAGGAACGTGTCTGTGCATGCATATATTTGTACAAATTGTACTTGAGAGGAGATTATTACAGCCTCTTATAAAATCAATGATGATCATGATATCGGAACTGGATCAGTATCGGCCAATATTCAGATTTAGGTATCGGGATCGGATCGGAAGTAAAAAAAAAGTGGGTTGGTGCATCCTTACAACAAAACAAAGTAGAATGCAGTAGCAGGTTGTGACCAAAGTTTGATGTCGCTGAGAGTCATATGGAGCTTCAAGAAGTACCATATTTTTCACCCTATAAGTCGCTAGAGCTGGACAACAATTCAATATCGATATATATCGCAATATACTTTTATTCAGTAACGATATGAGTATTAAGCACATTTTCGATATTTCGATATGATTACAGACGTGTTTCTTTTTCTGTTCGTGTTGAAGCGGCCACTTCAGTTTCAACCCGGACAGAAAAAGCCGCAACATAACTACGCAAGTGCGTGGTGACGTAATGTTACGCAGAGCTCGAGTCCAGAAGGCGTTAACGGTAGCAGACTAGGCTAGGCTAATCTCCAACGCACGTTAAGTTTTCACTTCAAAATGAGTTCCCATGACCGTCAGAATGTGACTGAACAAGCGAAGAGAAAGCAGATGACATAATTGATAAGAGAGGAAAGACTAATTTGGCGGCGTGGAAGTGGTTCGGCTAGCTAAGATCCGATTAACTGCAGGTTTCAGTGTGCTGCAAAATGTGCCGGAGAGTCGTTCAAACTAGCCGTGGGAACATATCTAACTTGTTCCACTCGACAGAATATGCTGAGAGTCAGAAGATGAAGCACAATAAAAGTTTGAGCCAATGTGTCCCTGAAACAACCCCCCCCAGCTGTATCAAAAGAGAAACACATGCAGCAAACGTTAGGCTATGTTGTTGTTTAAAGTTAAAACTATTAATATTGACAAAGTTGAGAGTTTCATGTTTATTTGACGGCAATTTCAAATTTTTTTGAAGGCTAAATACAAATAAAAGGTGAACATTAATTTATTTGTACGGCTTTTCTGAGGATTTATATTGTTTATATCGATATCGAATAATTGTTATCGACCGAAATTAAGAAATATATTGTGATAAAAGTTTTGGCCCTATCATCCAGCCTTATAATTCACATTTTTTTGCATATTTTACATGCCCTGCAACTTATACACCGAAGCGACTTATAGATTTTTCCCATATTTATAAACCAATTTTTGGCTGCAATATGACCATTTTCATTCATTCTGACTGAAAAAGTTGAACACTACCATGTTCAGCCACTAGATGGCACTCTAGTTATATGGCATGCCGTTGTGTCATGTAATAGATAAAAGTGGCTATTAATGACACGATAGGCTTGCCATAGATGCCACCTTCATTTTGTTGCGCTGCCCCGGTGAAATGCAGCTAATTTGACCTTCAAAGTGCATTTATTAAGGAAAAGTTCAACTGAGACGCACCTTTACCATAAAGTTGAGCCAACAAATAATTGTTTTTAGGTGCTTATCTTGATAAATTTCGAAGAAATACGCAACGACTTGTCCCTCTGCACGTTCCTACATCTGCGTATCGGCTTTTGAAATACAGCTGATTTAATCAAAGTGCATTTATTAAGGAAGAGTTAGACTGAGACACACCTTTACTATAATTTCGAGCAAACAAATAATTGCTTTTAATTGTTAATCTTGTTAAATTCTTGTTAAAGTCCTCCCGTACACGCTCCCGCGGCCGCCATTTGGCAGCCAATCGATTTTTTGCACAACACCGGCCCACATTTGGGTTGTAAGCGGTGACGCGTAACAAACGCAACGCGTCAGCGGTGATGCATAATAGATGTGACGTCTACGGCGAAGCGACGTATTTATAGGTTTTTCCACTTCTTTAGACATATTTGGACTGATGCGACTTATAGGGTGGAGCAACATTTACGATGGAAAGTACGGTAAGTATTCCTGGTACCTGGATGATTGAGCATGGACTTTGTTGACTTGAACCTCTTTGGCTATGGCTGCCTGCCTGGGAGGAGTTGATGGGGGACAGGACGGCCCCCAGAAACCATCTTATCTCCAGCAAACTGGTTGGTCCACTGAAGGAGTTTACTACTTGGTGGGGAAACTGTTTACTTGGAACTCCTCAGACTGATGAAGCCCTCCGGAGAGAGGGCGAAACGTCTCTACAAAAAAGAAACTGTCGAGATGACCTGACTGAGCATTACTGGATATGGTAAGTATTGTTTTTATAAAAACAAGGAAATGGCTGCCATGGCAGCAAACTTTAAAAAACTTTGGAGATAAGAGGCTGATGGGAAGAATGACTGCAGCTGTGACTAACTGGGAATATTCAAATTTTTGGGAGGAGCTTTACAGTAAGGGCACTCTTATAAATTACCAATAAATAGTTGATTAAAAAAAGTTAATTATGCAGTAAACACATATTCGACCATTATTAAACAGCTGTAGTGTATTAGATTTAAAGGACCAGACTGAGTTTTTCTTTCCATTCCCACTGTTTACATGCATTCCTCAGAATTTAGATCATAAAAATCAAACGTTTGTCTGCAAGGGTGGATTTCTCTCTTCGGGTCGAGGGTGAGGTACTGCCTCAAGTGGAGCAGTTCAGGTACAGTAGTTCCTCGCTACTTCACAGTTCAACTTTTTTGGACTCGCTCTTTCGTGGTTTTTCAAAGTAAGATTGGACATGACACACAACTGGCTGATTGATGGATGAGCCACACGAGCGGCGTGGATTGTTTATTGAAAATAAATTATTTAAAAGGTTTAGCATCATTTATCACGGGGGGCGTGGTCCCCTAAACCCCGTGATAAACGAGGGACTGCTACTGCATCTTGGGGTTTTGTTCATGAGTGAGAGAAGAATGGAGCGTGAGACGGACAGATGGATTGGTGCAGCGTTTGCAGTATTGAGGACTCTGTGCCGGTCCGTTGTGGTGAAGAGCTGTACGGCAAAGCTCTCTGTTTACCTATGGTCACGAACTCTGGGTAGTGACTGAAACTGATTAAATATATCCAATTAAGAAAAGACTCATGACAAAATATGAAAGAAATTGTGTGTTCACGCAGAAGAAACGTTGAAGTAAACATAAGATTCACGTTTTTATTTTAGTGTGTTTTCACTGTACAGTCTTAACTCGGTTTCTCTTTACAAATAATGACCAAAAAAAAAACATGAAAAGTTAATTTACTTGTTCTAAAACTAATCTACAACTACACTACAGATAATTTCTCTATTTGTGCAGTTTTATTGTGGTCCAGTAGATGGAACCGTGGTTTCAGATTATTTGAGCTTGCATTGCTGAAGTGTTCACATTGTTGGCAAACCTGCACAGAAAACTCAGATTCATCAAGTTAAATGGAAAAAGCAACTTGTTTTAAACAAATTCTGAATAATTATAAAACTAAATAATCCACATGTGCAGATGTATTCACCCACTTTGTTCAATAGCCCAGACCAGAAACCACATATTTAATGTGTTTTTTTTAAAATAGGCCTTTCTTCTGACCACAGAAGATAAATAAGTATCTCATTGGCCTCCTTTGGTTCTCGAATAAAACGAGTTCAGAACCGCAAACATGCTACAGCTGTGATTTTCAACTGGTGGCCCATGGGCCACATCAAGTTCCTTGAAGGGGAAGTGCAGTGCAGGTGACTTATTTTTAAAAAGTCATTAATTTACACATTTATTGATATTTGTGCACTATTGGACAAAATAAAAAGACCATACTGACATAAAAACGAGGAAAAAAATACACTTTATATCAAATTTTATACATTTGAAACCTTGACTTATGGCTTTTGTGAGTCCTCACAGGTCAATATGTTGAATTTGTAATTGTTGCTTTATGAGTTTTCAAATAAGAACACATTCTTTATTTACTTAGACTTGTTTTTTTTCCTTTCTATATTTTTAGTCTAAAAAATTTCACCAAATTTCCTCTCAGCAACTTGTCTTAAAGGTATTCTGAAAAATTCCTGACGGTTTGAGAGAAAGATCACATTGTAAGGCTGAATGTTGGAACAATGGACTATCAATCAACCTTTATTTATACAGGTAAATCCCATTGAGCCTCGAGGACTCATTTACAAGAGAGACCTGATTTCAACAAAGAAAGATGACAACAATGGACAACAGCAACAACAATAAGCAGTTATAAAAACTCATACTACATACTACTCATACTCATACTACTCATACTACTAACAAACAACTAGCATGATCTAACCAACATGTTTCACTCTTTTTAATTAGTAGTATCTCATATATTTGCAAAAACAAAGACAGGAAAACTAAAGCTAGCCTTTTCTGTAGATATGAAAACCAAAATACTCAATCTTGTGTTGCGTTTTGGTATAAACTTCGAAAAGCCACTGCAGAGGGACCAAAGAGCAAAATTCAGGGCAAAAAATGGGAAAATTTAATAATGGAGTATTTACTTATTCATCCCACTGTGGACATACCCTTCATCATATCGCTGCATCGGCCTGATTAGTCTTTTTTTATTAAATCTTTTGAGACACTGAAACAGCTCCAAGGGGAACTCCAGAATTCATTTATTGACGTTCTCTCCACCCCACAACTGTTACATGTAAACATAGAAGATCTCCCTCATTATGAAAATGTTTTTACACTCAGTAGTCATTTACAAGCGTCCCTCTAGTCTTTGAGATGACTTGTATGCTGCTGGAGCTTCCGGGAGACTCAAGTGACTTCTGGCTTTTACAGGTTTTCTCTTTGCGGGTTTGATTTCCTCTCCTTCTGCCCACAGACACTCCTAAAACATTGACAACGTGAGCTAAAACTCAAAGACACGTGAACAACTAAAATGTCAAAATTGAGAAAAGTATTCTGATTACGGAAAAATGAACGTTTTGTTTAATCACCTGACTGATTACCGTAATACTTCTACCTAGTGAGAGCCTTGGCAACAAGATACGCAAGTTCAGCCACATTCAGGGCAATGCAGATGGATGAGGCAGCGGCCATGAAAACAGTGAAGATGGTTTTCTCCGTGGGGCGCGAGATAAAACAGTCCACCAGGTTGGGGCACGGCCACTGGTCGCACTGCACCAGCCTTGGCATCTGGAAGCCGTCGTACACCACATACAGGGCGTACCTGGAGAGACGACATGCCTTAAGATCGTCTAGTTATTTTAAAGGAATGTTCTGTCAAATAGTTCTCACTAGTTAGTACCTTATCAGGCCTAACGCCAGTCATCGTAGAGTTATTTAAAACACTAGTAGAGTTGAATTTGGGTTTAATAAATCTGGTCCGGACCGGACCAAGCCCGTAGTTTTATTATTTTCCGAAACCTACCCAGATCCAACAGATTACCGGTAATTAGAGGGCCGAACCCGAAAAAAAAAAAACCAGACTTTTATTTAAATTAACCTCTTACCGCTTTTGTAAGCAAATCAGTTAGACGTGATAGTTTTCAAAGCGTAATGGAAGGAAGCGATAAGATTTATGTTTATTAACAAGTCACCAAATGAATATTAACATACAAAACTAATAGCCTAAGAAATCAACTGTAAAGATCGGCTTTTACACAGATGAACAAAACTATTTTTAGAGCAAAAAGTATTTGGAAAAATATAAAACAAGGTTATTTTTAATTGAACGCGCTGCTCGCTTCGGCTTTTGTAGATGCTGGCACTTCCTTCACCGCAGATGAGAGCAGGTGCGGAGGTGCACGCGGCCAGTGATCAGCTGATTGATCAAGCCATCCATTATCTTTACCCGCTTCTTCCTTTTCGGGTAGCTGGGGTCGCTGGTGCCCATGTCCAGCAGTCACTGTGCGGAAGGTGGGGTACACCCTAGACAGGTTGCAAGTCCATTTCAACCGGCAAGTCAGCGAACGCGAGCAGCTGGTGACAGGTTGTCCATCTGAGCTTAACACAACTTTTTTAAACCGGCCGGTCGGACCTGCCTCCTCCTCAACTAGTGGATTAACACAACTAAACAAATAGTGCTTTGCAAAGTGTAGCTGTTTAATTTGGGCTAATACATCATTCTTTCAAACTGGTTTGCTCTTTTTTGAGTTAGACTTGTTGTTTAGGCCTGGAAAATTATAAACAAGGGGCTTTTGGTTGGCTAGCCATTAGCGTAGCCTGGATGAAGACCTATGCCCTTTTCTCCGTGGACTTTTTTTAATGGATATCAATGATGCTTACCCTCCTAAGACCCGAACTCTTGCATATGTGGATGCCAGGTTGTCCACATATGTGGATGCCAGGTCTTAGGAGGTTAAATTCAGGCACCATGTGCCCAAATACATTCATAGCTACTTGTGGTCGTAGAATACATTGGTAGAATACTGACCATTGATAAAAGTGAACACAAAGATGAAACAAACTGAAGAATGATTTCTGAACAAAATTGATCAAATAAGGAGGCCATAGTCAATGGTAGGAACAAAAAAGAACATGTAAAAGTAAATTATATGTCAAAGAACCAGAAGTAGGCATGAATATATTTAGACCAGGATGCATCACGAAAGACTTTGAGAATGCGTATGAGTATCCATAAAAAGATCCATACTCTACTCTGTCTGACGTTATGGCTAATTACTTATTAATAATTGATAACAACTTGACAGAACATTACTTGAAAAATAGACTACACTATCTCCATAACAAGTACGTCGATAAAATGGAAAATCTGACTCAGATCTTACATGAATCCACCTTCAAAGAGCAGCCTGACCACCAGGCTGCAGAGGTACGTCCACCAGAGGACACCAGATATCGGCAGTCTCCTCTTCTTTAGCGTCTCTAACTCTTCCTCTTGTCCCTTACTGCTGAGAGATCCAACTCGGCCAGTACTCTGTCGTACGGGGATTGCAATACACAACAAAATAAACCAACCACCAAATCAACTTATTTAACAATACCATAAAACACAACAAGAGTACTGTAGTGTAATCAAAAAATGGCACGAAAAGCCTAAAGGTACATAACAAAATAATAAGTGAATTTACCTGAAGCTCGAGTAGGAATAAGATTAATTTGATAAAGTGTTGATTTATCCTGAATGTAGGTGACAAACATACCTGAAGGAGCCTTCTCTTATCATCATGGTTACGATAAGCCACATACATAGAAACCATTAGTGTTGGTGTGGAGACAAAGACGAGCTGAAGACACCAGAGGCGAATGTGGGACACGGGAAAGAAATGATCGTAACAGACGTTCTCACAACCAGGCTGGAATATAACAACAATGAATAAGCATTAGTTACAACAAAGTTCACATCAGTCCTCGTTTCTAAGAACTGGTTTGGACCGCACTTGAGATTTATCAATAACATTTGTAAAGTTTAGTTTGTCCATTGCTTTAGCTTTTTTTTGTTTTGCAGTTAGCTGTTCCAGGTAATGTTAAAAACAGCAACAACAAATGTACCCGAATACACTAACGTACACCGCAACAGGATAAGAAAACGTGATCCCACCGGCCGGTTGTCCTACCTGCAGTGTGTTACAGGTGAAATCAGACTGTTCGTCCCCCCAGACGCTCTCTGCAGCAACAACCAGAACCATGACCCGGAAAATAAAGAGCACGGAGAGCCAGATTTTACCAAGAGAGGTGGAGTGATGGTTCACCCCGACCAGCTGGGCGTACAGAGCAGGCCAAGACATCTTTTGTATGCAGACAGAAACAAGGGACAGGCAGAAACAATTGGTTAGGTTTGTAGTTTTTCAATAGGAAACGTCTGGTTTAAATGATTTGAACATAAAATTATAAGCCACTCTAATTTTTTTTTTTTTTTTTTTGCTAAGG